AGTGCTTCCTTCCGATTCACATCATTACCCAAGGTCCTTTTTTACAATGTCAAGTCGCTATGTGACCAGTACTCAGTCTTCAGATGAGAAGCTAAGTGGTTTTATTATTTTGTCACAAATTAGGCAAGACACAATACCACAGGTTGTAAAGTGGCTCATATGATAACACCCACCCCTTTCCACTGAGACATATATTAGTAGATGACAGGATTTCTTTAGCATGGCTCTAAAATGTGTGAGCATCTTGGGTTTGGCTCAGAAAATCTTCCCAGTAGACCTGTGCATTCATTTTTAATTTTAATACATTTTGCTGCCTGAAGCAGAGCAACCAAGTCCCACCCAAAGTCAAAGAGTCAAGGTAATGATATCCTTGAACATGCATGGAGTTGGTTTTAAATGAATGTTTTATTTCAGATTGGTAGGTAAGGTAGAGAAAACATAATCCACACTACTGTGCTTTCTTTATCTTCTTCCCATAGAAAATTATAAGCAGATGAAGAGTAGCAAATCTCTAACTGAAAACAAGAGGATGCTTATAGAATATATATCTGTTTAAATACCTATAAAATGAGCCCTGTTTCCCAAACTTTCTGAAATATGATAGATATGTGTTTAGGGAATAGCAGAAGGTTGGAAGATTTCATGCCATTTGGATGGAAAACACCAAAGTTAAATGCAACAGAAAGATCTTCCATTGAAAGCAGGGGTAAACAGAAACAAAGAAGAACAAGGAAAATGAACCACTGATGCAAGTTATGCAAATGAATGGGTACTGAAATGAATGTATGTTGAATGACAAAAGCAAATGGCATAACTAAACTTAAAACAAACAAAAAAATTCCACACCCATATGTCTTGACACATAGTTTGTCGCAACCTAATTCCATAAGAAAAAGGGAAAGACAAGAGCAACACTCATGCTTGCCCATTGTTTTTCATCTCATAACCATGGCAGGGTCACTTAGAATGGTCAGGGTAGAAGGGGAAATATAAGAACTCCACTCATTCACTTTCATGGGGGAACGAGTCATCCACAGTGGGGAATTCTAGTAGGTTGCTTCATCCTTGAACACTGAAGATCTATACGGTCATTACTGGACTAGGGTCTTGGTCCTCCCAACTGCTTTTTCATCCTAGGAGTTTGGGGATAAATCTCACTATATACAATGTAAGATGTGCCATGCTAAGGACTCTTTGGCAAGCTGCCGTCTGCTTAATTTTATATATCTAATGCACATAGAAGCCATTTTAAAATATCTTTTCATGGTTTTATTATTCCCAGTACCTTAACTGTGGCATTATGTTGCAGCACAAAGAAAGCCCATTGAGAGATAGCTCAGATTTCTCTGCGATTTTGACTGCCTTCAAAAGCAAAAGCTTCCAAATTGTTCTGAAACATCAGCAGTAAATATTGTACTACCAAGCCGGCTGTGATTAAAAAGATTACTGTTATTGAGCAGAATAATCAGCCGCCTGAAACTTTTGAGCTTGACAAAAAATAATGAGGTGCCCTTGATCTGTTTAGCCCAGTAAGGTACCATGAGATAGCCTGAAGCTCTGAAATGAATAGTGCCAGCTATGTTCAGCAAGAATGGGGACAAATTGTCTCCTTTGACACTACAGGAATTTTTATGTTGCCAAGTTGGGAAGAATCTTTTTTCTTTTAATTGATTTACTTTCTATAAAGTGCTCAGTGTTTTCTGGTCTCAGTCAGGGAATCTGGTGCTTTCCCTCCCAAAATGTTATATGTGACAGATTAGTGAAGCTGCAAACTGAGGCACAGAGGAGAATGATTCTATTATACAATGACGCAGAGTCTGAATACAATAGGAGACTAGATGAAGAAGCACCTTTCATCAGATGCAAAGGTTCATTAACTGAGCACATTTTTACCTGAGCATAAGTGTCAGGTTTCTCAAATGCTGAATTATCAGAACTTGTTCTATCTCTTCACAGGCCTTTTGTTGCTATGTTCTGGAAGAAAATGAAACATGGCTAATATGGCTAACAGGCAGGGGTACCAACTGGAATAAAATATTGGGGGAGTAGGTAATCCCCACCCTGCATAATCGATTTCATGACATGGCGAAACACACACCATTTGAATGGCAATAGCCATCAACTTTGCTGGGGCCTGTCCCCCTCAAATATTTTAGTGGGGACAAAGAGATCTTGGCTCCTACGAGTTGACTCCACGCTAACAAGAATTACATAGGAAAATTAAGCTGAAATCAGTGGGTCTTGTTCATTATGACTAACTTTTGTTCATTGATTTCTAAGCATGATGTCAGGGACTGGCTGGATGAGGAGCAATGATGGGAGGCTCCCTCTGAAGAGCTCCCTAGGGAAGCCTCAGAAGAGGAAGGCTTTGAGCCAGGGGAGTGGTGGTGGGACATGGAAGATAGGTCAGAGGATGAAGAGGGGGCAGAATGGTTGGATGCTGAACAAGCAACAGGCTTGAGGGAGAGAGAGGAAGAAGAGGCAGCTGAGGAGGAGGTGGGGACTGAGGCTGTAACAGATTCAGAGGACCCTGGTGGTCCTTCTGTATTCAGTTCCCCGCCTCCCTTGTCTCTAAGGGCTTGGAGGCTGTTGCATGTAGCAGAACAAAGAGCACAGAGAGTGCACAGGACCTTAAACCCTGATGGAGTTTAAGACTGCAGGGGGAAAAGCTGGACAGAGAGGAGACTTAGGGGGAAGTGGGATGTCCAGATGGTCAGTTCTGGCAGCTGTTTTACCGGGAAGAGTTTCACCATGGTTTCTCTATTTATATTCTGTTTCCTTAAATAAAGAATTACTGCTCATCTCTGAGTCTCTGTACTGACCTGCAGCTGAACCAACCCTGGCACATGACTGAGGCTACACCTCTTACCTGAGAATCACCTTCAATGAATCCAGTGGGGCTTTTTTTTGAACTGACACTGTTAGGATTGCAGCCTAAATCTGGATCTAACACAAGGATTTTGTTTATATCATGAGCGGTTAATCTGTAGACACAATATCTAGAGGAAGCTTCATTTATCCCATCCCATACTACGTATAGATATTCTGCCCTTTGCTTCTTCTGAGGCAGAGGCAAGTCGCGCTTTATCGTCTTTTAATTTCTTTCTTCCCTCTCCCGTTCTTCCTTTCTAAAATATTCTACCCCTGGGCAGGTGCTCCATCCAGATTTTCACAAAGCTTCCTTTTTTCTAATTCTAAGCTCTCCAGGCACATATGAGTCTTGCAGTCTACCCTATCATTCTTTCCTGAGTCCCATTGAAGGTGCTGTCATTTCTGCACTTTGCTTTCTTCCATCAAGGCAATCACGAATCTTCCAGCAAAGTAAAGGGAAGGGCAGCTGCATGGGTCAGTGGACAGATGGAAAGTGCGGGCTTGAGAAAGCTAAACAGTTTGCATCCTCCTCTGAAAGACAGCAAAGCCGGGGGCCAGGGATCTACTGTCGGATTTGACAGTGCAATGCCCTATAGCTGTTTGAGTAGATTTACAATCTATCTATTTAACTGACGGGTACTTTGGTTACAGCTCTGCTCAAGTCATTCCCTGCTTTATATTTACCAAGACGTAACAAAGTAGAATTATACTTTTTTTCCAATTGCATTTATGAAATAAATGGTGTTTTCCTTCCTACAGCAAAGGGAAAGTGCTCTGTGATTTGTATCTTTTTTTTCAATAAAGACTTCCATGAATGCAAACATTAACCAAAGAGAGAAAGAGAAAACTGTTTCCAGCAACTGTCAATGATAGCCTTGGGGAGGGGGGGGGGAGAGATGTAGCTTCATGTGGTATCCAATGTGTTTATCCACACTTTCCTGTATAAATTCAAAGTGTGACATGGCAATGGCATGGCAATAAATATGAGGAAGAGAGTAGAAGGGAAAGAAAGGGTGAGAAAGAGGGGAGCAGCAAGAGCAAAGTATGAGTTAAGTGCATGAAATTTTCTGTGGTATTGGTTAACAATTTTGAAAATAGGATCCCATCTGCACTGCAAATTTAAAGCAATTATACTACTTTAAGTTGGGGTAGAATCCTGACAACTTAAGGTGTTGAGAGTTGTTAGGATGCCTCTGTTCCCCTCACGGCACTATTATTCCCAGAGTTCCCTGGGAAGAGAAATTGATTGTTAAACCACATTTTTACATACTTCACCACTTCATGAAAGTAACATATGAAGGAGTCTTGGAAAAAACCCCCACCCCCAAAGGGCTTTTAACATGTTGTTTGGAGTAATTCTACCACAACACTAGGGAGAGTCAACTTTTGATTAATATTGAAGGCCTCTTCAGCCATTTTGCTCCCTATGATTGATATCAAGGCTTGCCCTTCACCCAGTTTTCACCATTATACTAATCCCTGCCCAATGATGTCCACATTTTGGGTGAAGGTTTTGAAGAAGAGATCCCTTACAAATGCATGTGAGTTGGAACCCTATATGCTTGAGGTTTCATATAGCAGAGACCAGTGCTTTATATATATATATATATATATATATATATATATATATATATTTAAGGGTACTCTCATTTTGACTCAAGAAAATCACTGGGAAAGGAAATGAAGCCATCATTGGAGGTGGTAACAATGAAACTGACCAATCACCATGCTAGATTCCAACTCCGACTTCACACATTAAATGCTCGCTTCCATCTGAGACTCAGGAAACACTGTGAGAGGAAATGAGGCCGCCATTGGGGTTAGCAATGGAACTGCTGATTCACCGTGCTGGAGAAGAAACTAATTTTTTTAGTTTCTTCTCCTGTCATATTCACAAAATGTTTAGGGGTATGCGTACCCCTGTGTACCCCCAGAAAAAAAGCACTGGCAGAGACTGCCTGCTCACATTTTCCCCAACAGTCATTACTCTAACACATGGATAGTCAAGGGCATGATACTGGGCATGGAGCAGGCATACATGGCCTCATTGTCTCTCTTCAAGGTATCTCCATGCTGATTATGGGGAAACCTGTAAGAGCGTTCAGCTCACAAACCCCCTGAGATGAGTGGGGAGGTGAGATGCTGCATGCATCTCTATGCCCCCTAAAATACAAAGTTCAAGGACACCTGAAAAGGGCTTAAACAGAAATGGGAACTGAGCAACTTGTGTAGGGATAGCATTTCAGGGGTTAATGAATATGATAAGGGAAGATCAGGATCATACCTCAAGAGTCCCATGTATACAAAGCCTAGACACATATAACTGAAGCATATAGGGTCCCTTACACAGGGTTTTTGCTCAGGGGAAAATATCACCTTGATGTGTGTGACCTTACCACATTTCTCATGATTTGACATAGCACAGTAGATAAACAAATGACACTTGGCAGTCATTTATTGTTTCCAGCACAATGTTTGTTAAATTTCAATCTGTACAAAGTCATAATGAAATAAAACCCTTCTATCATGTGCTGTAAAATCCCACATAAAGAACAGCATCCATTAGACTGCGGAACAAAAAATAGGGGATCTCTCCCTTTGGAAAATATTTGCAATCTTGTTCCTGGAAACATTTCAAGGATGTTTTGTAAAGCAGTCAAGGATACAGTGAAGATAAAAGTCAGTGCGTTGGCAGGAAGAAGGACGGGCTGACCCAACAGAGCCTTTCCCAGCTCTGATTTCTCTGATACTGTGAAGCATGCCCTCTATTTATGTAAAGCTGAGAGCAATATAGAGGCTTCAAGGAGGCAGACATTTGACAGTAGTTACTGTTGTGAAAGCCATCCCCAAGAGAGACTTGCTGCCTTTGATTGCCAAGACCTTATGAGCATTTTGCAGCTTTCCGTACCTTCTGAGCCTAAAGAGTCTTTAAGAGCTGTTGACCAGGATATCAGCAGAACTTACTGAATATGCATTGCATAAAGCAGCTTTTGATAGACCTACCTAGGATGTATCATTCCCCAATTCTCAGCAGTGCAAATGTGCACAACAAAAGAAATGGATAATTAATGACTGCAGCCCCCTTCCCCCCCAGGCATGTTTCTGCCCTGGGCACCCCAAGGCAATGGCACACACGCTTTTTCAAGCTCAGCAGCCCTACCATGAGGAATAGGAAGAAAGTAGCAACTGAAGTGGCTGACATCAAAGCCTTTTGGGGCCATTCAGCTTCATGACTTCCTGTGAACAATAGCTACTAATCATGTTCCAAAGGAGCAGCTGCAGACACACATTTCTGAGAAATATACTGCAGGAAATGTGTGCATGTGTCGCAGCTAAACGGAACATCTATTTTGTCTCTTCGCAGTTCCACTAATATGCCAAGGTTACTTTCTGTGAGCAAAGCTGGCTCTTTTTATGCGACAAATGTGCTAAATAGTAGACACTGTAGCATGATAAGCAAGGAAAAGCCAAAGCACAGCAACAAATAGAGTTCAAAAAAACCCCTATATTACTGTTGTATTCTGTAAACTCCCAGACATTGGGGCTCAAAAAATATAAAAAACAAGTGGGACTCTGCAATGTTGCAGTGTGTACTTAACATGCACATGTTATCCAAGGGAGAGGAGAGCAAGTGTCCTTCTAGACAAATAACTTGCCCTCCCCCTAGTTCATGGATGCCTGTGGTAAGTTAACAGAAATGCACTTTTTGCATGCTTTAAACACTTTTCTTAATTATTTTGCTGTCTACAGAGTAGTGCCCCAGGGGCTGTTTTTCTTCTGTTGGTGACAGAACTAGCATGTGGAAGAGACATACGGAAGTGGAAGATAGATGATGATACTCTTCCAAGCCTGAGACATTCAGCGCTCCTCCATACTCCCAAGCAAGCACGAATAAGAGTGCAGCCTCAGCTGCTTGTAGTGCAAATCTTCTGAAGGTTATCTCAGAAGTAAGGGCTTGTCCACACCAATTTCCCCTGGAGAAACCCATGGTTTCCCACTAAATCAAAACAAACATCAATCACGTTTTTCTGTGGATTGACTTTGGTTCTGATTCAGCAATAAACAACAGATTTTCCCAGTGAAAGCCATGGGACAAAAGAACAACCACTTGGATCCATTACTGAAAAGCAAGAGACAAGCAAACACCTCTGTGACCCATGCTTTCTAGGCATGTATCAAACAGAAGTGTGGATGAGCCCTAAGTCTCACTGTGCAGACTCTTAATGGGTCTTAACTTGGACATCAAGAATATAAGGGATGGGATATGCTTTACTGTACATTATATGTGTGACATAGGAGAACTCAACATGGGATCACCATTTTTTTCCTAGTATCATGTAATATGTTTACCAGAATCACTAGTCCTACCCTCAAATGCATAAATGCAGCTCTCCACTCCTAAGGGTTAGCTTCCAATAGATGAAACAGGTGTGTATACCAATGCCTTTCTGTTTGTGGGTTTGTTTTTGTCATTTAAAAGAATGGGATGTCCTGTGCATTGGAACCTATATAAGGTGCACTATGTTTGCTATTACTAGTGTAACTTTAGAAGGGCAGCAATAATTTTGCCAGAGATTAATATATCTTATATATCATGTTATTGTATATCAGAGGTGGGCAATCTCATGCCTCTAGGCCTCTGTATCTCTCCCTCGGGATTTTTTCCCAGGCTACATTCCTTTTTAGGCCAAACCCATTTTCCTCTGGGAACACCCCTCAATGGACTTGCTCTGTGTCTTCCTCAAATGCTTTTGTGTGCCTGAAAAGTGTCATTTGCCCTATTGCAAATGCCTTTTGCTTTCCTTGATGGAGGACAGAGGGATAGAGTTGCACCTGCTGCTCACTCGCTTTTGCCTTTGCAACTGCCCACCACAGACATGCAGCCATTGGAAGGTTGCCTATGAGGGAATGTGGCTCCAAGGCTGAAAAGCTCCCCCTCTTCTGCTGTACACCCACAATGATCAAAATGGGAGCCAAGCAACCCCAGAGAGACAGGGAGAGATACATAATTGTAAAACAAAGAACGGATATTTTTCCTTTCTTCTCACTTCCAACCCAGTATTTTGTTTATATTGGTTGCTCCATAAGGGCATGTTCAATGAGGGTAGCAGGCAGAGCAAAGGTTGATTGGTCAGAACCAACCAGCCAGCCATAGGAGCCTTCGCTGTGTTGTTAGGCTGCCAGCAGTGACAGCAGCTTGGGGAAATGCTGCAAAAAGCCTAACAGGGTTTCAGTTCCAGGTCAAAAATTGAAATTGACGTGTGGGTCCCTTAGCAAGAAAGGATTCCATTTGTATTGTGGGTCTTCTTGCAAAAAATGCTTGGAAACTACTGAACTATACAAAACTGTGTCCTGATTGAATTTATTATATGGATTGCTTTTTATATGTTGAAATATATATATTTTTAAAAATACAACTTGAGGACCAATCCATTCAACCATGTGCACATGTCATAGCCACTTTATCTTATGTAACTCTCTCTGCAAAAAGCCAAGTGCCACAACATGTAGTATTATGTTCCCAGTGCGCTATTCCTATCCCATTGACCACTTGAGAGGGCTAAAGCTTATCCCTACCACCAGTGTATTGTTCGCAGGTTTTCTGACACCAATGTTAAATCTCCATCACAGGGTATCCATAGCTGCAGTTACTCTCATAGAAACGAACATCTGCAACTCATGTGGGGGGAAATAAGGTTAGACATCTGGGGACAGTGTTGCAGTCACTATCTTGTAAGAGAGGATGGCCCAGTCTCCATCAATGCCACAGGGAAGGGTTGTAATATGACCCAGGGGTGCCAAGGGGAAAGGTTGTGATAGATTTCTGTGCACAGAGCAAAGCACATGGGGATGCATGTGATTGCACAAACACACCCAGACACACCAGCAAGCCCAGCAGTATGCAACCCTTGACACAGACTGTGTAGCAGGCATTTTTTCTACTATTGAATAAATATTGAAAACAATTCACTTTGGCTATGCACAAAGAAACTAATGATATACTGCATGTCATGTTTCCCCTCATAATAGATTGACACGTGTTTGAGGAAATGTTGATGATGCATTTGAGTGCATAATAATATGTGTTAACTGTGTTAATTATTTTGAATCGTTTGGAGAAGCCATTAGTAAGGCATTAGAAGAATTAAATATAAATATTTAACACATTTAAACTGATTGCATTTCATCAAATCTTGGCTTATCTTTTATGTTTCCCTAATCTTCATGCAGTCCTCTGAACTTCTGAACAGCTTCATGACTTCCTGTGAACAGTGCTACATTGAAGGATAAAAACCCAATGTATACTAGAGTCTGTACACATACAATTTTTGCACACATAGGCTCTGTGTGGTAGTTCTTGGGACTGCGTGGTTAAGGGCAGAGCCAAAGTTGCAATCCCTCATTTACTCTTTTGAAGAGGGCTTTTTATCACATTTTGTCAAGCCATGTTTGCAATACAAAAATTAATAAAACAAAAAATCATTAAATCTCAATCCAGGATGGGGAACCTGTGGCCTCCCAATTGTTGCTGGACTATGACTTCCATCATCCTTGATGCAGGCTGGGCCTGATGGGAGTTGGAGTCCAGTGACAACTAGAGAGTCTTTGGTTCCCCATACCTATAATAACTCTCTGCTTTGCCCATTGTTCAAGTGGCACACATGGCAAATGATGGCAGCTCCCAGAGATTTTTTTCCATAGTACCTCAAATGAAGAAAAGACACTTCATGGTGTGCACATTCCAGTCTTTTCATATCTCCTTCCTTTCCTCTGAAACCCATAGGCCAAAGTAAATTTCTTGGAGTCATATCTTTTTTTGTGTTGACTTCAGAAATGAACCTGTCTGTCAACCTGGAAGCAGTGCTGATAGGAGTAATGTCCTTCAAAATTAAAAACAGGAAAGGCAACAAAGCCCATTGGCCCTTTTGATATAAAATGCATGTTCCTATAGCAGGACAATCAGATTGCTCTTAGTAGAGAAGGAGGAGAAATAACATTTATAGTACATTAAGCCAAGATGGTTTTAAAAACAACAATGGGGATACTGTGAAACCACGTCAGATACAGCAGAAGATATTTTATGTCTTTTGGGCTAGACAGTGTAGCCTGCTAACCTAATAAATCTAGTGTCTGGGCATTGTCAGTAAGCATAAAACCCTTTAGATCTATATGTTGCAATATCTACTTTATCTATTGACTTTTTGCTTTGCAAATTATTTCTCTTCCAAAGCTACCTTGTGGGTTGGCTCATGTCTTTCAATGTTAAGACCTGGGCTGCAGAGCCAATGGAGAAGGTCTTATCATATTGGGGATACTAGCTTCTTTGCAGATCATCTTTAATGACACAGGATTAATCCATGGCAGCTGAAAAATGCAGTTGTGTTGGTATCCACTAGCAGCTTCAATAGCAAAATGTGGGGAGCAGACCTACAGGAGGACCAATCAGAGTGTTGCTAGTTGGCACCATCCTGACCCCTGCCTGGTTTGCTCTCCCAGCCAGTGAAATTGTATGTGCTTTGGCTGCCTCGGTCTGAGAGTTTGTCATTCTTAGTGTGATTGCTGCCTGCCCACTAGTGATACCAGATGATGGTGCTAGAATGTGTTTAGGTGGGCAGGTAGCAGGGAATTACAAAGATGCTGCCCCAATTTCAGTGGTGGTGGGCAGGGGACTGGACCAGTTTACTTGCAGGATCACCTTAACCCATATGCACCCACTTTGATCTGCAGAACTGACCCTGTTACAGGTACCACAAAATACTCATTACACAGTTGTAAGAAATCCACCTTTGTAGTGTGGCAGCACCTACAAACTTTGGTACTCAGGCAGACACCTTTGCTGCACTCTTTTGGGTGCATGCTTAAGACATTTTTGTTTAGGCAGCCCTATCCAGACCCGTAGATGCTGACATGCTCATTTACTGCTCATTTTCATGATCTTGACATGTTTTAAAATTGTTCTTATTGATAATTTTAATATTTCTGCCTAGAGAGTTTGCTATAATCAAGTGACATAAATAAGGAAATAAGAATAACCTTACCGTCTCTGTGTTTGCTGTGTGAATGGAGCGCAGCCATCAGAGGGAATCGCTGAAAGTGGACTCCATAAGGGGGTCTGTTTCATGTGTACCAGCTTTGAGGAACTGACTTGTGAACTGAATGTTAAACTGAACAATTTCTTCACCGCCTCCAATACTTATTTCCTGAAAATGAAACATCAGGTGATATATCATATATGAGTCAGATACATGTGGCTTGTGATGAGAAATAGCAGTTGAAGATCAAAGGAAGACAGGTCTAGTTTAAAAATAAAAACACTGTTCATTATCTGTTTTAAACAAAGTTTTCTCTGAAATGTCAGCTAGATGCCAGGCATATGTTGTAAGCTGCACTATTGTATGTAAACCAGTTTTAAGAACTAATGATCATTTTGAAAGGGTGTGGGAGTTGTGAGCTGGCCAGGAATGAACTATAGCTAAATACTTTTCTTTACTGTGAAATGGTAATTTTATGAAATTTAAATACCTAAAATAAGCATTCTAAGCCATTTATTTAAGTGTATTCTGAATAGTTTGCAGCACCCAAAAAAGAAAAGTGACATTTTCCCCATATAACTGAAAAATCTGAAAGACCACCTTCTTCCCTACAGACCCTCTTGAGTGCAGAGAGTGCCCTCTTGGTAGTTCCTCCACCCTTACTGAGATTCAGATGGTGGCAGCTGGGGAAAGGGCATTCTCCATGGTGGCCCCTAAGCTGTGGAACTCCCCACAAAGGTGTGTCTGGCATCTCTATTGTACAATTTCCAATGACTGCTGAAAATGCACCTTTTTACCCTATTCATCTCCTTACCCTGGCTTTTGAAACTTGAGGTGTATATTTTTAGGACCAACCTTATTTTTGGTGACTGTAGGTTGCTTTAAGCAGTTTTTAATATTGTGTATTAATGTTGTAACCTGTCTGATGATGAAGATGATGATGATGATAAGGCTTAAATGTAGATTATTTATACAGATAAAGCATACAGTTTTGTTGCTCTCCTGAACTCATTGGACCAGCTCAGTGTGAATGAATGGTCACAATGGCTTGATTCAGGCATTTGCCTGCAAACATGAGGGCTGAAAGTGTGGAGGGGGCTTGACTATGCATGCAAGCCCCGCCCCCAGTGCCATTGGATATAGCATAAATCCTGTTTCACTGCCAGAAAGGCAGATCTGTCATTGGCATGGCACTTAAGCCTCTAGAAACTCCATGCTCTGCCCAGATAAAACTCCACAGGCATAGATGTAATGTCAGTGATCTTACCCTACTGCTGGGGTGAAAAGGTGTTATTTGGGCATGCTGTTGGCAGGAGCTTTGGAACCACAGCAGCCAGCCAGGTGCCTATGGGAAGCCCGCAAGCAAACATAGCACTCATCCCACTTGGGATTCTCAGCAACTGGTATTCAAAGCCATACTGGCTCTAACAGTGGAAGGAGAACAAAGCCATCACCATCATGACTAGTGGCCATTTGAGAGCCTCATCCTCCAGGAATATACGGAAATCAGCCCTGAGTGCTCACTAGAAGGACAGATCCTGAAGCTGAGGCTCCAATACTTTGGCCATCTCATGAGAAGACAAGACTCCCTGGAAAAGACCCTGATGTTGGGAAAGATTGAGGGCACAAGGAGAAGAGGACGACAGAGGATGAGATGGTTGGACAGTGTTTTCGAAGCTACCAACATGAGTTTGACCAAACTGCGGGAGGCAGTGGAAGACAGAAGTGCCTGGCGTGCTCTGGTCCATGGGGTCATGAAGAGTCGGACATGACTAAACGACTAAACAACAACATTAGTATCAACGAAAGCAATGGAAATAGTTGAAAAGTGAGGGAAGATCAGGCATTTTTCTCCTTCTTCCAACCTGGCCACAGCAAAGGAGCAGGGTTTGGATGTAGCAGAACCACCACCATAGAACTCCTCCCCATCCCAATTCAGCAGATTAAATCTATTAATTAGAGTCAGCCCACACATGAGGTTGAGATCTTGCCAAAATCTTATGAGATCTGGCAGAGCACAGATCTTGGCAGAGTATGCTGCCGCTGCCATTGCTTTGAAAGCACCACCACACAACCCAGGTAAGAGAGGACTTGGTGGTGCAGCAATGCAGTGGTGCAGTAGTGAGGTGGCACGTTTCTGCTTTGCCTTAGGCAGCAAAACAGGACACACCGCCCCTGCTGTTAATTAGGCATGATCAAGACAAGAGAGTGACTTTCAGTGAAAGAACCGTAAAGTGTCATGTGCCTTTTCTAATTGAAAACCAAGGAGCAAGAGCTCTATGTGTCAAACGACGTGAAGTAGCTCCACTAGGGAAGACAAAGCTTCTTATGGATTCAGTTATTCTTGGCTCCGTAAATCATTTCCCCCCTTCATTTAAAGGGTGAAATTCTGACTCTATTGATGTTAATGGAAGCTATCCCATTGGGTAAAGTGTTGCCAACAGGTTGAAGCCAGATGCACTTCAGCCCCTATGGAACTGTCAAGCAACAAGCAGCTGGTGCTTTAGGTATTCTTCTCATTGTTCCCAGTTATGGGACTGCGTCGTGATTTAAAATTTTGATGGCAACAAGATATGCTTTGTGACTAAGTAACGATTCTTTAGCATATATTTCCCAGAGAACATCTTTGTCAGCTACAATTTGGCAGCTCGGTAAGGTTGCGCTCTGAATAATCAATGTAAAAAATAAAATATAGAATGATTTCTATTATTCAGGCACAGGGATGCCTGAATATGTAAAGTTCAACAACTATTCCGTTTTCTTTTCCAGGGAGGTCAAGGAAAGGAGCCCATTACTCTTACAGTTTTCGTAAGGAGGGACTGCTTCTCAGAAGCAAGTTCAGGCACCTTCCCTTACCCTCATAAAGGTGCCAGAGGTGGATCTGACTCAACCAACCCTTGCTAAAAGTCTCATTTTACCAAAATCTTCTCAATTCCTAGAAATTACTCCATGAGTGATCATAGTGAAATGGAAATCTAATCCATCACATCCAATATCTCTGTCTCTCTTTGGATAGGTTCTGGGGAGAAAGGCATAGTTTGTGGGTTAAAGGTCAAAGCTACCAAGCAATGGCTTCCTGCTAGAATGATTTTGATTGGCTGATTATTTCACAACAAAGCCAAAATGCCATGATACATAAAAATGAGATGAGCAGGTTAGGGGAGGGGAGGGGAGAGAGCGCAGAACATACGATGCTTCGGCAGAAGTGGCTAAGATACAGATCAGTATGGAGTATTCATTCAAGTACTGTTATGTTAAAGGGGTTTTAGGAATACACATTATTCATTTTCATTCATCACTGTATGTTGCAATGGAACAACAGTAAATGTGGATTAAGTACCTGTATTTTTTGCACCATAACACTCACTTTTTTCCTCCTAGAAAGTAAGGGGAAATGTCTGTGCGTGTTATGGAGGGAATGCCTACGGGTGGCATGCCTACGGATTTTCCTCCTCTAAAAACTATGTGCGTGTTATGGTCGGGTGCGTGTTATAGAGCGAAAAATACGGTAGTTTAGAATGAAAAGCTCTAGCCCTGTGCACATGTCTTCCTTGATGCTTGTCATTGATTCCTGGAAATTTATGTTGCCAGCAACAGCACTCAAAATAAGGAGGATAGGTAATGTGGTCACAAGCCACAGTAATCAAGCACATTTTGCAGCAGCACATTTAAGGAATACATTTGCCCTCCTGATGTCTTGAAGAAGCACTTATTCCCACAATACATAGTTAAACTATGGAACTTGTTCCCACAAGAGACCACCAACTTTTATGGCTAGAAGTGACAATTAGACAAATTTATGGAGGGTAAAATTATCAATGGCTACCAGTTAAAATAATGCCATTTGAAATAAAAGCATATTTACACTTTTTTTCAAAAGTTTAAAAATCAACTTTAAAAATAATTTAAAAACCAGCTGGAAGTATTTCGAAGCATTTAGATCATCTAAAAGCATAGTAATACGGTATGTCTGCCTATCAGATATCCATCAAACAATTAATTATGATGATTACGATTATTTATGAGACACATTCTTGCACTCAGGTGTCTCAAAGTGACTTACACAATAAAAATAGAAATAACAAAAACAAAATCAGATATAAAAAATTCCTCTTAGAGGGGAAGGTTCCCCTTAGCCCACAGAAAAGTTTATTTGTTAAGTAACTGATAACAGCAATCTACATTTACAAAGGGATGGAGGGCAGGAGGAAGTATCTGTTGCTATCTTCTTATAGCTCACTCAGCTTTGTATCTTCAGCGATTATAAATGTTTAGGACTTTTCTAAAAGCAATGCCCTGTTCATTATTAATTTCACTTTTCCTTGAAGCGCATTTCATAGAGACTATAAACATAAAGACTACGTTTACACTGTCTTTGATTTGAACTGATCTGTCAATACAGGTGTTGTTCCCACCGGGCATAAGTTTGCTTCCGACATTAACATTTTGTTTTCCTTCAAAAGGTTGGAACTAAGCTACATCATATAGCAGCACTGACCATAGAGACTGAAAAGTATTGATTTATTGAGATGAGCAGACCTGTCTGATAGGCCATAAATACCACTGACTAGCTGGCTATAATTAACTACCTACAATTTCTCATTGCTAACTTTAAAAAAGGGAGGGAAAGAAGTATTGTGTGCTTAACTCATTGTAAGGAAGTAGCTCCCAATGTGGATAAGGTCTAAAAATTATTTATGGCTTCTATTCTGCTTACAGGCACGTGTCTTGGGGAGGTTCCCTGGGATTTCTGGCAACATGGTTATAAATGTTGCACCAACAAAAAGCTGCTGTGATTTGAGATTGCATATATTGCTGAAACTGTACCCAGAATGTTATCATTTGGAAGTGAATACATTGTCACAAGGGAATAGTTCCTTGTCCAGTCATTCATATCTACCTACTGAATTTAAAGGGTCACTCAAACCATGTTTCTCTGCCCTAGATCAGAAAAAGAGAACCCACCAGCAACCCACCTCCTAAGTTCCCAGAGCTTATCACACAGGGTGGACTGGCTGTATGATTGTAAGGGTTAAGCCCTGTTTTAAGGTCTCTTCAGGGCAGGAGCTGGTGGAGCAGATCTCCACACTGCCAATGACTCTGAAGAGCCTTTAGATCTTGATATCCCTGCCTCCAGTATGGAAGCCATCATATTAGCTGCCTAAATTCCTGACTGGCTCTCATATCCTTTCACATTTCCCTGGGGGGCCAATCAAAAGACAAGGGCTGTGTTTGATTTGGTTTCAGTTGGCATCCGTCTGGCTCGGGAGACAATGGCAGAGTGTGCCTTTGGGGCTGAAGCCAAAGTTCCATGGGTAGGCAAACTAAGACCCAGGGGCCGGATCCGGCCCGATCGCCTTCTAAATCCTGCCCGCGGATGGTCCAGGAATCAGCATGTTTTTACATGAGTAGAATGTGTCCTTTTATTTAAAATGCATCTCTGGGTTTATTGTGGGGCACAGGAATTCGTTCATTTTCCCCCTTCAAAATATAGTTTGGCCCCCCACAAGGTCTGAGGGACAGTGGACCGGCCCCCTGCTGAAAATGTTTGCTGACCACTGAGCCAAACCATTGGAGAGTTTCAGTGCCTACTGTGACTGTAGAGACTGATACAGGAGAGATATGTTTTTTGCAGCTTGGGCAGATGAAGCTGTCTGGTTGCGCCAATGCAGGTGCACCATGGCGTTTCTTCTTTCTGTGCTCTTCCCAGCAATCATTCGTCCTCCGGTCACTGCTGTGACCTGACTAATTGTCTCCAAGCACTGAGGTCATCTACAATGGATTCCCACACGGCGGGGTTAATGTTTCCAGCTTCCATGTGACCTTTGCAGACTTCTTTGTAATGCAGAGTTGGTCTGCCAATGAGCCTGATGCCTGAAGCCAGCTTCCCGCAGAGCACATCCTTGGGGATGCTGCCATCTTCCATTCTGCAGACATGACGAAGCTGGCATAGACATCGCTGAGACAGGAGTGTGAACATTCTGGGAATGTGGGCTTAGTTGCCATCATTTAAATCACTTCAAAGCCAAATCGTGTGGTCCAGTCAACTGACTGTAAACTAAGTGTCCAAGAGGCTGGTTTCTAAGCATGACCCATAAATCCGTGGCAATTGTACAGACAATTTATGTGCATGGCAGGCTTCTCTTTTTGAATATATATTCAGCATGGGCACATACACATGCTGTCAGTCTGTTGTTCCAGACTACTTTAGGTTGCCAGGACTGGCAAAAGCAGTAGCATAGTGTTGAGACCTTTTAAATACCAATTGGACAAAATTAAACTAATCACTCTGTCGTGGCTTTTGGGAAAGTTCTGTTGTTATTATTACAACTATTAGCTTCCAGATGCTGAAATAGTATGTGCAATAAAAAATAATAACATTTTTAAATAATAGCAAAATACAATCTGTTTCAGTCTGGGCTGCTTTCTAGTTCTGCAAATGAACCTGGGTAGCCATCTACATTCAATTTCAATGTAAAATACTCCAAATAGTTTTCATTCTATGTTCTGTCCTATTCTGTTTTTTTCTCCTATGTTGGATGTCAAGGAGACTATCAGCTGTCCTCCTCTCCTGCTGGTAAATGCAAGCTGTTTTGGATGGCAGTGCTGGAACACTGCAGCAGACAAGTGGGAATTATGTAAAAGCATTTTCTTTCCTTTTCAGCTAGGAGTTTTATCAAAACTCTCCATCATATGGGAAGACAAAGATTGCAAAGCTAATTGAGATTTGGATATTTAGAGCTAGCTTCTGCTGCTTCCCTTATAAATATATAATAAATGAAATGAATATTTAAGAAGTGGCCGATCCTTTTACAGTAGGAGCCTTCTTTCTGAACCTCACATTTCATCCTGTAAATCATCTTAAAATGCAAAGCCACTTTGACTGCCCCCCCCCTTTAAAAATCGGTACATTATGGAACCTGAAGGATAGTGCCTGTACATGTGCAAAATAGTCCACTTCGAAATGTAGAACCATTGTTCAAAATGTACAAAATAGTATATTAAACAGGGCAGTTTTTCATTTGGAATGCTTTATTTCAAAGAAAGCAATAATGCTTTAATTTAATATGTTGAAACGCAATAGTACTTAGAGTCTTTGTCAATTAGAAATGTGAAATTCTTCAATGCCCTATGACACATGCATTATGTAATATGGCACTTTTTCTTTTTGTATTTGCAAACTATCTGATTTTTATTTGTTTGTTTGTTTAAAAGGGGGGGTCAACAGCTCATGTATGTATAATAATAAAAATCATACCAATGCCATGCAGTAGGGTCTGGTGGGTTGCTCCAGGTATCATTGGGGAGAGGGGGGATTGTAGAAGGCAGACATTTTTTTTCTAAATGGTACAGCACAGGTTTAAATTTTGTTGGCCCTTACAGACATTATTGCACCAGAATTGTAGTAATAATCAGTTTAGAAACTTTATTCTTTTAAATACATTTTAGTAAGTAGTCCCCTACTTACCAGCATTCTAAAATAGGCCCAAGAGTTTGTTAAATCAGTAAAACCAGTCTCCTGAAGTAATTGTTAGCTCTAGAATTAAGCTATCATGATTGGTACACCCATATGTACACTTCCAAATGCTGAATGAATGCACAACGACACAGGCTCTGTGGGTTAGATGTACCTGGTATCACCATTGCTTGAACACCACTATCATGGTACACTGGCAGCATGCTCCCCCAACAAATGTCCATTTGATGTCTGCTGGAAAGAGTTCCCTGCACGTAAAGTTATACACATTGAAGTTTCTCTGGAAAGGTCTCTCTTTGCAAGCACAATCTCTCCATAGGTACATCTGCACACATGGGAAGCTTTTTTCAATGAACATCAAACAGACATTCTTTGCACAAAGCTGTAAGCAGTGTGGGGTGATAGCAGGGCTAGCATCTGTGGCCTTCTCTGTCTATTGGACAGGGTTGTGTGTCCCCCTCTTTGTAGGCCAGCTCTCCATTTAAGGCAGGTTGTTCTCTTGCAAAGATTTCAGTCAAAGATCATCCCTGCCCCCTTGAACTCTGAAGAGTGAGGACCTTTTGAATGCAAAGCATGTGCTGAACCACTGACCTATAACCGCTTCCTGTGCATCGCCAATCTCATGAAATCTTGCCTGATATATGTGGCAACTGTGCAATATTCATTTTGGGTGCCAAGCCATGGCTGCATAGCCCTAGCTTTAATGCCTGCTTGAAGGTTCAACAATGACTGTATCAGTAGCAATGAATTTGGTGTGTACTATATTTCAGATTAAGAAAAATGCAACTTTTGCTGCAGGTTACGCAGCTCACAACAAATAGGTGCAATTTAGAAGTTTGGGCGGGTGGAGAGCCTCCCCCAAAGATTAGTTTTATAATATACTGTTCCTATTTCTCCTTCTTTTCCTTATTTTTTCCTGCAGCTCTGATATCTTCTCCTAATAACCAATCTTAAACCTCCCATTTTATTTTCCTTACACCATACACAAAGCCCCCATGGGAGCCAGTTTCTTGGTGCAATCTGTTTCTCAGCGTTCAGATCATGCTCCTCTTCTGTTTCTTTCTCTTTCTGTACAATAGTGAAAAATGTGTTTGTATCAGTTTTATCAATTCCCTTCAGAACCAAAAAAACCTTTAATTACAGTATTGATTCCAAGTGGTGCAATATGGCAGGTAATTTCCTACAGAGTTCCAGGTCAGCTCTCTGATGGAAACAATTGTATTCAGAAGCAATAACTTCCACATTATCCCAGCAATAAGATCATCTTAGCTCATGATAATTCAAGGGTTGACAGGTGTCACAAGGAGTGATGGGTGAACCATAAAATTCATAGATTAAAATTATAAAAAATGTTTTGAGGATCATCTGAACTTCTTTGATCTAGGCTAGTCTGAAGAATGCCTTGTCTTGTGATTTATTGAGATTCTTCAAATAGACAGCTTGTCTCACTTCATGGAAAATATTATGGAGTCCAACCGCTTTTAATCATGCAGTGTCTTGAATTACACTAGTTTTTAGCATTTTCCAAAAGAGTGTGAATAAACGCTACAACAGGAACTGTTGCACGTTTCTCAGGGAGAGAATGAAAGACAGTTCTAGAGCAGGAATCACCAGCTGGTCCTTTCCTTTCCACATCTATTCTTCTCTTGTGAGCTTTTGGGAATGCTTTTCTAACTCCATACCTTTTCCTATGTGATTTAAATTAAATGAAGAACAGCATACGTAAAAATTAGATTAAGACACCACAATATAGTCATTAAAGTTCCAGGGGCACAGCCTGGGGACCACATTCCATCTTAGGCAGCTTTCTGGGAACACTGGTTCTCAATATGTGAAGCTACCCTAAGAGCATTGATTTCTTTGTAAATTTGCCACACATATTTATTTCCATGAGAATGATAGTGTCTCCTTGCTTTATGAGAACAGAAGCCAAAGGGCCTTTTAAAATATCTTTTGTGTTTGTGAAATGATTAAAAAAAAAATTAGTTTGCCAAACAGTTCTGAAAGGCTATCAATTCCCTGTGATTTCTTAACTGCCGTGGTTAATTACCATTTACTTGCTCACATATGTTATCAGAGCAGTGCCAGGACATTTACTAGGGAACCTCCCATTGATAGCACTGGTGACCACTTGGCTATGTCCCTTGATGTAATATACACCACCGAGGAATATTTTCTGTTTCTCTGCCAAGCTCAGCCTATCAGTAGTGGGAAACGTTGCCATAGCTAACCTACGAGTTTTTCTTTCCCTTCAGATAGAGAAATGCAAAGCCAGCATCGAAATACACTGCAGGGATTGGCACAGCATAGGCCACATCTCCCACGGCTAATAGAGAATTTGCCCAGCAAAGGCCAGAAATCATAACATGTATTCGATATACAGTTCTGGCATGTACACAAGCTTGCATATATTTCCAAAGCAATCTGAAGATTTAAGCAGTTAAATTCAGAGAAACCGAGGAAACAAATAATAGAATGATAGAAAGTCCAAAGTCTTTGTCTGGCTTTTCTAGAAAGCAACTGCCATTTCCTACATATGTGAATGATTTCTCAATGAAAGAATTATATCACTGTGATATACTCTGCTGTTCTGAAACCATGTCAACGATCTCCTTGAATGTTGAGATGGTAGCCATCTCTGTTACTCCATTTATTGAAACAGGGCTTTTCCCAGCACAACACCTCAGATTAATTATGAATCATAAAAATAAACTTTATTTTTATCAGATAGTAGCACAAAGATTGTGTGGCGCTCAGACAGAATGCAGAAATTTGTACTCATTGCTAATTATCTCCAAATGACTACAGATTAGACATAACACGACAGGTAGAAAGATGTGTTTTCCTGTTAATCAGCTCCACCGTCTGATCGCATTCATCACTTCCTGCAAAGCAGGCTGTTTAAAGAAAATTGTAGTGATGCAACAGGAACCTCTTTACCTTCAATAAGACAAACTCAGTAATTATTCCCTATGTGGGGAATTTCTTGTTCCTGGTTAGTCTACACAATACTGACCTGGATAAATCATAAAGGTAAAGGGACCCCTGACCATTAGGTCCAGTCATGACCGACTCTGGGGTTGTGTGCTCATCTTGCTCTATAGGCCGCGGGAGCCTGCATACAGCTTCCGGGTCATGTGGCCAGCATGACTAAGCCACTTCTGGAGAACCAGAGCAGCACACAGAAACGCCATTTACCTTCCCGCCGGAGCGGTCCCTATTTATCTACTTGCACTTTGACGTGCTTTCAAACTGCTAGGTTGGCAGGAGCAGGGACTGAGCAACGGGAGCTCTCCCTGTCACGGGGATTCGAACCGCTGACCTTCTGATCGGCAAGTCCTAGGCTCTGTGGTTTAACCCACCTGCATCCTGGATATATCTTACCAATGCAGTAAAACATGGGCTATCTTTTAAGTGGTGTGATTAAAGTAATGTGGGGCAATTTTAGCATACACACATGCCGCACTAAGCAAAATCATGGTAGGTCTTGGATTTGGGTTCTGCTTCTTGTCCTTATAATCCAACAACCATATTGACCAACTGGATGCCTTTGGGAAGGCCACAAATTGGCTAGGACTTCAATAGCTCTCTCCCATTGTTGCTTCCCAGCAAATGTGTTTTCTGGATGCATCTGATTTCACCAAGGCTACATGGAGAGGTCCATATTTGAGGAATAATTGTAACCTGTTTCTCCTAAGCATATTTGCTATACTTTTGTTGTCACTTGTAATTGGAAAGCTCCCTTTCACTGATTAAAACCATTGGTCCACCCTGCTCAGTATTGCCTGATTCACAGTGATTCTCCAGAGTTTCAAGCAAGAGTCTCTCCCAGCCCTAGCTGGAGAGACCAGGGATTGAAACTGGGATCTTCTGCATGCAAAGCAGATGCTTGGCCACTGAGATGAGACTGTTCCTCATCTATGACATTATGTGTGTGTTTTTGGGGGGAGGGAGAAATTAATGAATGTCAGTCAGAATCTAGTATTTGAAGGAAAGATTCACAGGCAAGTGGAAAAATAGAGGCTAAGCTTCCTTCCAAGCCAGTGCCTCACCTGGGACAGAGGAGTTAACATGACAAAAGGGGTTGATGGCCCATCTAAGAGGAATCCTTGAGGCTGGGCAAACAGAAGTTGCCATGGTGGTGTCTGGGTGTGTTTGAGGTGACAAGAAAAGAGTGTCATTAGCAAGGTGTGCTGGGAAGAGGAAGGGAGAGAACAAAGACTGAGATCCATATTGGGCAGGCTGGCTGAAGGCTGGCTGCATGAGTTGCCTTTGACTCCAGTGTTGCAGTGCTGTGGGAAACAAGTCCTGCTTAAGATAACCCTGCCATAAGATCTGGACCCCCTCTATCTAAACTCAGGTGTAAATATGTGAATAAGTAATATTTCTAAAGCTACGACAGTCTCCACCGTGTCTTCAATTCTCTAAAGGAGCACAAATCCTGGGTGAGCACCTGGAACCCCCTGGAAACTTGCTACTGCACAGTTGGGAGTGGCACCCAGCTTCTGTAACAATATGTATAACAAGCTTTCTTAAAAAGTGGTATATTTTACTACTGAGGACCAGATTTCAGATATGTTATATTCATTCCCTCTGGAGCAGAAGTAGCAGTATAGCAGAGAGGCATTTTTCAATTCGCTTTTCCTGATATGTTTGCCCTTCTTCAAATGCACCCTGCTCTGTCACCCTAAACAGCAAATGGAATCTGTTCCTCAGGGAGTATATCTGCATGTGCGTGGGGGAGAGAGGGTGCACAAATACATGTGCATGGTGCAGACCTCACTCGATTTCATGTATTTTATACTCCTTTCTCTTCTAAAGGTCACAAAAAAAAACTTGTGTAACCAAAGCTGGATGCCTCCTCACTACCGAACCATGAAATTGTTTATGACAGTACCATACAGAAATGTATGTCAAAAATATATATGGGTAGTTTATCCAATGAATTCTGACTGACTGCAGGTATTTTGATTAATCCAGGATTCTTAAATCACATGACACTTCGGGAGGAAAGGGATTTTCTGGCAATCTCTTTCCTTTGTTAAAAAGATATCCACAATATCTTTTTCTTTGTTTTAAAATATTTAAGACACAGCTTTTTGAAAACTTGCCTTTCTGCATCAGACCAAGTACCCAGGGTATGATACAATGCATGATCCTCTCATCATCTGCACTCCCCCTTCCATTTCTAATAAACACAGCAATTATTAGAAACCTTTCATTGAACAGGGAGTATCTATTGTAGTTATTCTGGCTAATATTCATTAGCAGTTATCTTCCATAGATTAGACTAATCTGAGAGCAGTTTTGTTCCTCAAAAGAGCATAACAGACACACAAGTGCTTTTGCACACTCTTGGTAAGTTCCTGTGTGTGTGTGTGTGTGTGTGTGTGATGCAGAGTTAACCCAAGTTCTTTTTCCACTCCTTTCTCTCCTAAAGTTCAGACAAAAAACTTATGCAACTAAAGCTATAGTGAGATTGAGATTTGAAAGGTTGTCCTTCAGCAGAAAGTCATCAGTCTCACTACCAGGGAAAAGTACAAGTCACTGCTTGAACATTGCAGGGATAGTTCAAAATTCACTCTGTTGACTCTTCCATGTATTCAAGGTCACCCTAAACCAGCCTTTCCCAAACTTGGGTCTCTAGCTGTTTTTGGATTAGAGTTCTCATCATCCCTGACCACTGGTCCTGCTAGCTAGGGATGATGGGATTTGTAGTCCAACAACAGCTGGAGACCCAAGTTTGGGAAACCTTGCCCTAAACTAATGGCCATAACTTTGCATCATTCATAATGCTATAAACCACTTTCATTTAAAAAGTATATATAAAAACTAAAAAAAACAAAAACGCTCACCCATCTTCAGTTGTTCTTCAACATCTAACCACTAACCTCCATTAGCTGGTTCTTTTTTTAACCTTCTCCAGTTCCATGATAGCTTCCTTAAGATCAAATTAGTTCACAGTAGTCTAACTGTGGTCCCATCATAGATTGGCTTATTCCTGCTTTATGTTTTTTAAATGATCTGGAAGATGTTTAGATTTATTTGTAAAAATAAGTAAATTAAACTAATTCAAAAGTGAAAACAGGTTGTTCACACTGAGGAAACTGAAGACAAGCGCTGTATTAGTGTCCTAGAACATTTCATGTCAACAGGGGACTCACTACCAGGTGATCTAAGGTGGGCTGCTGCTGCAGCACTTCCACCATAGAAATGTATGACCAAAAGAGAGAGAGAGAGAGAGAGAGAGAGAGAGAGAGAGAGAGAGAAGTGAGTCCTCAAATGCATGTTTGGGCTGAGAGTGAATCCTGAGTATCAAAAAGGTGAAAGCAGAGCATGAGACTCTTAATCTCAGGATTGTCAGTGCAAGCCCCATGTTGGGCAAAAGGTTCCTGCATTGCAGGGCGTTGGACTAGAGGACGCTTGTGCTCCTTTCCAACTCCACAATTCTATGATTCTATGAAACCTATTCCTCTAAAATATCCATATTTTCCCATTGTCTTCATATCAAAATATGCATTCTACAGTACTGGTAACCTAGTTTCAGTGCTGCTTATTTTAAACAGACAGGACACAATACAGCAAAGTTTAAGTTGCTGTGACCAAGCATTCTACTTCATTGGTTTCCACAACATTTAGTTGTTACTAATGTTTACTAGATGATATCCACAGGGCTTAGACAGTTTTATACACATTAGTGGCTTTTCCGTAAGAGACCATTTAATTATTTAGGAACTATTCCCTTTTCCTTAAGACTCAGGAAAGAGAATACACAATTGTGTGGTTGAAGTCAAAAAAGGAGTGATTTTAAAAATATTTACCCTCTCAGCTTACGCCAAAATCACCGCACTGGAAAAACATGACTATGATTACAGCCCTAATGGATTATTTTGATTGCTTATTTGAGAAAGCTCCCTGTTTCAAATGAAATCCCCTGAAACTGTTTAGATGTTGATTGAAACCTCTCCAGTGGATGTATGGTAATCCTTGTTCTTTATTGTCCTCATCAGTTTCTAATGGCGCAGTGTTTACAAGATTTAGCTCCAATCCTTTGCAACATCTCTCAGCTAAATGTCTTTCCTTCTCTTCTTTTCTTGACTCACTTTTCCTGCTGCCACATGTTTCAAGTGGGTCTTCCAAGGATTGAGTTTTCAAAGGAAAAGCCATCCCGCTGAAACTTCATTGTCTCAGAACATATGCTCAGACATTTCCAGGCACTATCAAAATGAGCAAGAAGCTTCTTCCTAAAAAAAGCTCTGCTCCCCAGACTGATCAAAGAGAGATGTTCATAGGATAGAAACAAATATTGATAAGCCTAATGTGGCCTTGAAATACCTCCTGAAATTCCAACCACTCTTCAGCATCTAGAAAGAGTGGTCTTTTAAACTAATGTACCTGAAATCTTGGTCATTTTTATTATGTCATGTCATATTAATCATTTTAAATATAGTAATGTATATATTTCTTGCATTTATATTCCACCATTTCTCCAAGAAGCTCAAGATAACATGCAGGATTTTCTCCTCCTCCCCGTTTAATCCCCCAAACAACCCTGTGAGGTAGGTTAGGCTGCAAGGCAGTAACTGGTCCAAGGCCACCCACTAAGTTTCATGGCCAAGTGGGGATTTGAACCGCGGCTTCCCAGGTCCTAGTCTGAAACTCTAACCACTATGCCACAAACTTATTTTTTAAATGTCCTCACACAGAATGAAATTCTCTAGCCACCCTATAGTTCTTACCAATTATGTCATTCAACTTTGTCATTCTTCATCTCACATCACCCAGTTTGATTGGGTATGAGTAGCCAGTATAATTTCAGTAGACACTGGAATATTGAAAGAGCAAGCAACCACACAGGAGATTATTTCTAATTATTAGCCTTGGTTTATCTGATTTCTCAAGAAAGTAAGAACAAGGGTACATGGGAAAAATAACTATTATCATGCTGAAAAATTGTTTTTGGACTCTGCCACTTCAGTGTCCTGTTTAGGAGTTGTATGACTGTATGTTCCAGTGGAGTTGTGGGGGAATTCAACATCACACAATCCAACATCACCATGCAGCAGAACTTTCCTGCTTTCCAGTTTCGAAACACTGCGTGGAAGAAGTTTCAGATTGTTCCTAGAGGTGTTTATGACTGGCATGTAAAATATTCACATCACCCATCAGAACCACCTAAAGAGTAATGCTACCCATTATAGTACTGGTGACACAGAGAAAACACCACACAGAAGTCTATATGACATGATGGGAATCACGCATGCAGGACAGCTGTTCAAGATTACATAAAGGAATGTAAAGATTCAGAATGATGAGATACAAACTTTAGGAGAATGTGATATACTGCTAAAGACTGGGTATATTATGTTTTTATTCCACATAATCTCTACTACCCTTCTGACTCCAACCTTGATACATGAAAATAAATCCCACTGATCTCAGTGGAACAGAGCCCGTGGAAGCGTGTTTAGGAACATACCTTTTGTGACTTTTGAAAATGGGAAATACAAGAACTACTACTGCTAGTTCTCCATTTAACAGGTTTCCCAGGAAGAATGATCAGTGTTACTGTCTAAACCTCACAGGTTTTTAATTTGTGTTAAAGCCTGTGGACTTCAAGCAGAAAAGTGATGCAGACCACCAGTCCAATAGCCCAATGTCTTCTTTATTATTTCAGTGAACTATTTGCTTCTTATTCTCATCACTCTGCTTCCCCTCTGAAAAAACTTATCAGCTTTAAATGGTTTAAGCCCTTCCCACTTATTCCCTAACTTCTTGAAAAGGAAGCCTGGTATATCTCTCATTTTATTATTTAAGGCAGGGTCTCAGCATCCAATTTGTCCCTAGGCAGGCTATTATTCTCCTTGGAACATTGCAGGTCTAGCTCCTCTATACCACAACCACTTTGACTGATAAAATTAGATTTCAGTTTCCACCATGACAAAAATTATTTAGCAATTTGAATATATTCCAAAGGAAATCATCCATACCACAAAAAAGCAACAATTTCCCTATAAGTACTTACGATGGGTCTAAAATTGCATATAGCATTGATTTAACAATGGATGTGTTTTTTCAAAGTTGGGATCAACAGGCAGCGGTTGCCCACACTTGCTGCTATTCTTATACAACAACATCCTATCTTCATTTCCCTCTCATTGGGAAAATAAGTGAATGCTGTACTTCTAATGTGACATTATTGTTGCAAAAGAAAAGTGAACTGGGGAGACCTTAGTTACACGTCCAGTTCAAGCACAGAAGCTAGGAAGTGAAGCTGCTGACTGAATGCTGTAATATGTATATCCTTAAAGTTTGTCCTTATGAAAAGAAGTGACTGTTGTACAAGTGACTACTTGTACTTTAAGTAAAACAAATAAATTAGAGAGCCCAGCTGCTGCTAGACCCAGTGCCCATCAGGACTGGTAGGATGGAAGACAGAGGGCCCAACAGTAGTCAGAGCCAATAAGAGACAGAGGCAGAGGTGATTACAGGCAGAGCTAACTATTTGTAGCCAACCAGATGTCTTATAGAACTCAATTACCTGTACAAGGGTTTAAGGAGGAGGAAGGTGACAGGCTTGCCACCCTCTGGGCTAGTTGTAAATAAAAAGGCAGGCAGATGGGTGTAGGTGGCTCAGCCCAATCCCAGAAAACTGTGTCCAGTATAATCCTGCAAACAACCACCACCTCTATTATAGGAACATAAGGAGCTGCTCTATATTCAGTGAGACCATTGGTTCCTCTATTTCAGTATTGTCTACACTGACTGGAAGTGATACTCCAGAATTTCAAAGCAGTACCTCACAGCCCTACTTGGAGATAACACGGATTTGGACCTGGGATCTTTTACATGCAAAACAGATGCTCTACTACTGATTTATGGCCCTCCCCATGCCCCCAATTGAGGAAACATCAACAAGAGAAAAGGGGTGGGCAGTTGAAATAATGGAGATTCTTGTTTGTCACATAGCTCTCCACAGACTGGGTGACTACTGCTGAAACCAGAAATATGTTTAAAGAAAACAACAGGCTAGGTGGCTGGACAGCAGACGAGCAAGATGGTTGGAGTTGGAACTGAGCAGTCAGAGTAGTTGGAGAGGGAGAACCTGACTGTGTCTCTCTTTGTGGTATATATTTCAGTCCATACCCTGACAACTTTTAAATGACCACTGATTCAGAAATGCCATATAATTTGCTCAGGCTCCTGTGTGTTTCAGTGAGCAATAGCAAAAATAAAGACACAATGTTCTACTGCTGAAAAGTGCAAAATGTGATGCATGAAGGATGAGAGTTTTTCACTGCGGAAAAAAAAAGAATCTCATGAAAATTGCATTACCCTTTTCCAGAAGCTCAGCCTTGCACATCTCTAAAATATCTCAGCCAAGAGCCTTAACATACCTCAGAAACACAGTGGTAAGGTATTATTGATCATTACCTTTTCAACTCATAAGGGAAAGGAAATGTGTTAGAAGTCTGACAGTGCTATAAAGTAGAAGGGACTATATTACAGCACAGCTAGATAAGCTGTGACTTTGTAGCTGTGGATGACAGGCAACTCCCATGTGTGTTGACAGGTAGCATACACATATACCTCAGTTATAATGCAGATATAAAGCCATGATAGGAGGAATAGAGGTATACAGTTTGATGACGAAGCTAGATAAGTAGCTAGACAAGATATGAATCTGTAAATGTTACATTTGATAGTAACTGCAATTAATATCTTTCTTATCCACAGTGCATAGAATCTTTATCAATTGTAGGAGCTCAGACACTCATGCCTACATCTACAAGAGAATATCTGTGCTATATTCCATCTTCTCCAACAGGTGTGGGAAACCTCTTTCAGTTTGAGGGCCACAGTCCGAAAGGTGATGCATGCCAGTCGTGGGCATGACCAGAGACAAGAATGGACATGGCCAGAGGTAGCTGCTTACCTTTATGAAGTAGGCTACTTTCCAGTTACACAAAATCAAGAAGCTTCTACACATATGCACACACAGCAAAAAGCTTTATTACAGTAAAGAATGCATTCCAAAAGCATACCAGGAAGGCACACAGCAGAGCTGATGGGAGATGCAGCCTGGGAGGAAAGTTGTAGCCTGGAGAGGTTGTGTGAATCCTGAAGGCCATACAGAGAATCCTAGAGGACCATCTTTTGCTGTCCCCGAGATTGAGAGTCCCCATCTATTGTTGTCTACTGTATCTGATGCAGATATTGACAAACACCCCAAATTGGGAGAACTTCTATAATTTTTCTGATCCAGGGAAAACTATTCTGGCCATAGGAGCCAAGAGTGAGTCCTTCAAGATGGACTAAGTCTGATTACCTAGTATGGGGTTAATTTTAATAGGCCTTGGGGACTTTGGCATATGAAACCAAGGCAATTTAGACCACCAAAGCCCCAAAGATCCCTGGCAAAGGTTTAGCTCAGACCATGCAAAAGATTTGCCAGCTGGGCAAACCCCTCTTGGATTATAATCTGAGCAAGAAAATAATTGTTATCTTTTATAGCTCGCAGCTCACAGCTCCCTTTGAGGTGGACTTTTTATGAAGCCCCTGGCTCAGGGGCATCCCTACTCTAGGCATTCTTTCAATTCTGAATCCGATGCTATCCAAATACAGTGGTACCTCTGGATACACAAACCTCCAGTTGCTTATCCTTCAGGATGTAAACGTGGCAAACCCAGAAGTATTTTTCCAGGTTTCACCACATGTGCATGCGCAGAAGTGGTCCTTCCAGTTGTGGAAACCTCAGGATCCAACTGGAGCTCCGGAACGGATCCCGTTCACAACTGGAGGTACCACTGTATTTCTTTCAGGCACCTATGTAGTTCAGTCACATGGTGCTGAAATTTGCTCCCTGAGCTCTGATTTGAATCATTTAGGTGCAGTATCTAAATCAGATGTCCCACTAATGCACAATGATTTAGGGTGTGTGTTTTCATTTCAAGACCAATGGCAAAGCACAATTAGCAAGGCCATTTCATCATATCATTTCATTTCATGAGCCAAATGCCAAAGACAGAAGCTAGTCTTGACTAGTATCATTGACCAGTGCCTTGCAGCTTTACTTCTGCATTTACTTGGTTTGTAAAAGTTACCAAATTATTCCCATCTCCTAAAGACATATTGAGGTGCCCTGATGCAGTGAACCAGGATCTGAAAAGTCAAGAGGAACCCATCAGCACCATGGCCAGCAATCTGACTCTTGTCTTGATGAACTGCTTTCAAAGGGACTGAGGGAGCTGGGGATGCCATTAAACCCAGACAAATTATTTGCTGTTGAAGCCAAAGATTGTATCACTTCAAATGATACATTTAATAATGAGATTAAGCAGGTAGACTGCAAATAGGTCCAGGGGCAGTACGATGCTGTGTGTGTGTCCAAATTATAGCAATAAAATCTCAAGTTGAGGCTCAAGTCATATGCTAGAATATTAGCTTCCTGCTATACGATGCAGTTGCTATAGAAACTTACAAGTGGGAACTAAATAAAGTAATTTCTATGCTGGTGCTGATGTCTGGAACTTCAGCACCTGATGCTAACAAAATTGTGCTCGATAAACAAATGTAAACTTTAGAAGCATGCAATAAGTTCACAATAGCTTCTATCCCACTAATTAATCTCAATTAATCTTGCCCTAGAATGCAAGAGCATAAGAAAACATAGGAACAAAAAAAAATCAGAAGATTACTTAGGACCAATGTGCATACTCCTTCTGTCTTATCTGAAATCTTCTTTCATTCCTCTTTCTCCTGTCTTGTTTATTTTCAAACTTTCTAGTTCACTGCAACTCTAGTTGATAAAACTGATATATCTAATGATTTTAAGCAAATTAATTATATCTCTGCTGACTTAACCCAAGCTAATTTAAAGATAAGCCTGAGAACAAAGTTCATGTGTTCTTTTTCATGAAGACACAATTAACCACAAAACAATAATACTCTACAGTGGCTGTGTAAAATTTCCAGAGATCAGGACTGCAACCTTTAAACTTCAATTCTATACCCACTTACCTGGGAGTAAGGTCCACTGAATTCACTTGGGAGGGTCTGTCTTCTGAGTGAATTTTAGCTGGTTAGTCAGTCAAGCCCAGCCAAGTGGTTGGGGTTTTGTAATACTATTTTTTTGTACAATAAGGAATAAAATTAGAAGAGGTTATAAATACTTTTCTGCTAGCAAAAAAATATTGAGTTGTATCAAGGAAGAGCTTCTACTTGTGCAAGTCAGGAACCTGGCTTTCTCCAATCCTGATAATGCAGAGTTCTAAACTGCATGGGAAAAGTCCACAAAAAGTGGCTTCCCACTATGGAAGCTGACCCTCCAACTCATGGAGGAGTTGATGAGCCAGCATGTCCCACTTTGCTTCATTCCATTTGAATAGAATTGGGCTGTGGCATCCCTGGAAAAGCATTGTGACCTTTTTGCTGCCTTGACTTGCATCATTGAAATTGCCCAATTTATCTCCATCTTCTAAAGTCATATTTATGTGCTGCACATAAAGATTTGTGCCTACATTGCCTACAGTCATGGGATGAGTGCCAAAGAGCCTCACAATAGTGATGGCAATGATGAAAATCCAATTAAAAACTCACATTTTCAAATAGGCAAATTAAGGATATGAATAAATAGGTTGGTACTGCCTGACGCTCAAAACTTGATTGGAATTCGTGCACACTCGTAGGGATGGTTGTGCCAGTTCAACAGAGTACTTGATGGAATGGCAAGAAACTGAAATGTCTCTGCTGACATCATCGGAATTCATTGCATCACACTGGGGTGTGTGTGTGTGTGTGTGTGTGTGTGTGTACTGCAACAGGGACTAATTGGCAAGCCATTTTCAGTTGGTTTGAACAAGCCCTGAGTTTGGGCTTGCCATATGCAGATAGGACTATGAGGTGTGAAAGCAACTGAGAATGCATCTGGAAGGATCTTGCAAGCAGGCTGGAGCAGCAGCATGCCTGCGTATTAGCCTGAGGCAAGAGATGGCAGCTGGCAGGGTGACCCAAGCCAGGTGGTCAGAGTCTATTCACTGCTCATTTTGGCACTTGGGCCAAACAGCTGCAGAGCAGAACCAGCCTGATATCAGACGGAGCAGCAGTATAAAATCAGAGCCAGGCCTTCAATTTGCCAGCCAAATCTGAGCACAACAGGCACCCATCCAGACCACAGAATATGAAGTCTAACTTCTAGAGGCGCCTGCAGGGTTCCTGGTTGGTTGCTTCGTGGGGTGGGGGGGGAAACCTAGTGTCAATAACCACACTGGACAAAAGTGTGCATGCTGTTGCTTTTTTAGCACAAACTTTAATCCACATTGTCTCGTATTTATTTATTTTAAAAGGAATGAGCTAGGCTTGGCCTGCCTTTCTTTAAAAAAAGAATTACACAGAAGGCACTTGAAACAGCTTACATGCAGTGCCTTACACAGTTGTCGTCACGAAGTCATAACTCTAAGGTGAACAAGTTTCATGTTTCAATGTTCCCCACATGGGGAAACAGCAGTACTATGTGCACTGAAAACTAGCATGCCAGACTAGATATTTTTTCCTTGACATTTAGTTTTCTATATACAGGGAGTTATTGGGTTTAATTATACCATTCCATTTCAAGTAATCTAAAGTAGCACACTCCAGAAACACTTTCCCCATGTAATCTGTTCTTGGTGTAGACCAGCCGGCCCCAATTTGGAGTTTTCCAGATATTTTGGACTACAACTCCCTTCATCCACCACTATTGGCTATGAGATTGATGGGAATGGGGGTTCAAATCATTTTGTGGCCACCAGGCTGGAGAAAGCTGATGTAGCCTATCTGTCTTTGAGAACTTAGATGTGTCATTAAATGCTGTTGAGGCAGAAAACTGATGTAGACTGCCATCCTAGGCATAGATTACTGGGAGGAAGCCTCACTGAATTCACTGGAATTTAACTCAAGCATGAGATTGACACTGCACTGTTAAAGAGAACTTTGATACCTCAGGAACTAATCTACATGTGATAAAAATAAGAGTTTAATTTTCCTTTATTTTCTTTTATCAGTGTTTTCATTGATTCTGTTGTGATGTTGTGTTCTTATGTATACTACCTTGTTGTATTTTTGTTGTGCATTTTACGTGTGTGTGTGTATAAGAATGTAAGACCATAAGAAGAAGTTGCCAGATCAGGCCAATGCCCCCGTCAGGTTCAGCACCCTGTTCTCACAGTGATCAGCCAGATGCCTCTGGAAAGCTTGCAAGTAGAACCTGAGTCTAACAGCACTCTACTCTCCTGTGGTTTTTAGCAACTGGGACTTGCCGATCAGAAGGTCGGCGGTTCGAATCCCCGCGATGGGGTGAGCTCCCGTTGCTCAGTCCCTGCTCCTGCCAACCTAGCAGTTCGAAAGCATATCAAAGTGCAAGTAGATAAATAGGTACTGCTCCGGTGGGAAGGTAAACGGCATTTCCGTGCGCTGCTCTGATTCACCAGAAGCGGCTTAGTCATGCTGGCCACATGACCCAGAAGCTGTACGCCGGCTCCCTCGGCCAATAAAGAGTGATGAGCATCGCAACCCCAGAGTCGGTCACGACTGGACCTAATGGTCAGGGGTACCTTTACCTTATTCAGAAGCATTATTGCCTCAAACCATGGAGGCAGAGCAGAGCCATCATGGCCAGTAGCCATTGATAGCCTTATCCTCCTAGAATTTGTCTGAAACGCTTTTAGCCATGCTAATAGCTTCACTGGGGAAGGGTGGATTTCACAGAGACTGTCTTCTTCTTCTTTGGCGATCACTCGTAGCCAAGTCAGATTGTCTTCCATGAACACGGTTTTAACAGTGAGTCGTCGTAACATACCACTTGCTATTTTCCACCTGTTCTGTAGTTGAGGACTTCTTGGATCATTCTTTGTCTAGCTCCTCCCCTTTGACCTTACCGCCTTGGATGACCCTGCTGGGAGTACAAGACTCCCAACAGCTTCGTTCACAAGGGTCATAGGAACGTGCAAGCCCACTCACCATGACAAGGTGATGATCCAGCAAGTGAGACAGAGACTAAGCTGGAAGGCTGCAAACCTTCCTCCACACATTATGTAATCTTAATCATTTCCCTATCCCTCCACACCAGGTATTTCACTTTCAAACATACACATACCATGATTACTCATGTCCTGTTTGTAGGATTCTCATAGGAACCTAGCTGACCACTGTGGGAAAGAGGATGCTTAACAGATAGACCTCTGGCCTGATCTAGCAGGACTAATCATGTATGCTAATCATGTTGCTAATATTACATCTAGTTAAGCCCTAACATAGCACAGTGATTCTATATGCCAGGGGTAGCCAACATGGTGCCTTTAGAAGTTCTTGTTTATGACTTCCATCATCTTTGACCACTGGCCTTGCTGAGTGGGGCTGATTGTTACCATGTGAGCTTAACTGCTTGTGCAATTGAGCATAACAATGTAGGGTATTTGCTTCCAGTCACATTTGCCTAACTGATAAGCCATATTCCATTCTACAAATGCAGCTCATATGCAAAACCCTTAGGATGAATGAGAAGAGGAAAACTCTATGCTTACATTTCTCGCCCTCTCCCAAGTTGCCATGGTAGGCATGATGAAATTAATATCTTCTTTCACCCTGTAAAGATGTGCACTTCAAAGGAAGGTAATGAAAACAATATAGCTATGATCCAGAGAGCATCCAACAAAATGTAAGATATACCATTTGCACAATTCTGCCCATTAGATTTTGCAAAACCTCATCTGCTGCATGAAATAGGCATCTGTATGCAGAACAAAAAGATCTAGGCACAGCTTGGTCTTCCTTGTTCAGGAAACTTGTTTGAAGTGTCTGTATGTCAACCCCCATTTTCACATGCAAAAGCGAGTCCTTGGATCACACTATACTAGGAATATTATACAATAATGTATGAACTCATAATCTGCGAAGGCATCTGAATTCTAGATTGCTAAGAAATATTTTAGCTTTCTTTGAGTCTCATTATAAAGTAACCTTGGAGAAGTCTTAACATATGTATAAAAAAGTCATTAGCCCATTCTTCAGAGGATATCAGCTCTCACCTACACGATAATTATAAGCTGTTCATGTTATTATTTAATAAAGTGTTTTTCCATCCATCTGATTGGTTCTGAATATTCACAGACGAACCAGACCTGTGACTGGGGTAAGCCGCAGAATAATCCTAAATACTCAATAATAATTGAGTTATGTTAGCCTTTTCCCAGCAGCAAAAGTTGTGTTGGTTAGCAGTACAATGCTATGCATGTCTACTCAGTAGTAAGCCATACTAAGTTCAATGGGGCTTACTCTCAGGTAAGTGCGTAGAGGATTGCAGCCAAAATGATGAGAACCCCTGAAAACTAGCTAAAGTAGACATTAATTTTAAAAAATAAATAGCAAAGTTTTTAGGGAAGAGAATAGAAAATGATCACCTATAGTCTTTCTGGTCTCTGGTTAGCCTGAAATATAAAATATGAATCCAACTCCTATTTTCCAGTAAAGAAAATGCTGATGGCATAAAGCATATTCTAACCAAATGCATGACACTTTAAATTGAGTTAAGCACAAATAAATGAATACCATGCAAGTGTGTAATTAATAATAAAATTTTCGACTTAATACATATTGTTGAGCATGCGTGCACTACATTTGAAGCATCCCAATGATTATTATCTATGGCATACACGATGTTTTCTAGTCACTACAGCTTCTGAGAGCACCTGCTTTATCTATTTATCTTTCCTTTTGTAGCATAAGCTGTGGAGACAATTCAATTTATTGAAGCCACTCTCTTAGCCATCTAATGGTGTAGTACATTTAACTTGATACGCTATTTGCCACTCGCTCTTAATGAATCTTTGATCAGCTTATACTTAGCTCACAATTTTGCCTCCATGTTTCACTGTCCACAGATAAAAGGGTAAGAGTTTAATTTTCAAAAGGTCAAAATGGTAAACAAATTTAAGAGGGTCAATGCACTTCAGAGTGCAATCCAAAGGCAGATCATAGATGGATCCCCTTGATTCTAATTCTCTGACTCTGTCGGTCCTCCTTAGGCTCTCCTGATGCTAACAAAGCCAGACAAGGAGTGAGTGTGTGGCCGGGCTCTGCTTTCCTTTCAAGTGGA